TTGTCCTGACATCCTCCCACTTCTTCAAAAGATCTTTAGTAACATATGTCGACATTGGTCATCTTTCGTCTTCCTCTTTTTCAAAACAAAACACATCTTGATGAGTTTCTTGGTATTCTTCATTTGAGAGTTCTTGGAGTTCTTTTGTCATCAGATCAGTTTCAGGTTTCGTTATGAGCTCTAAAATGCTCTTTATTTCTTTCATAGCTAAGATTGTGCCTACTGTAGACTTGTTCAAGCCATACTGCCTAGCAACACCAGACATCTTGTGCCCACTTTCTGCCTTGGCTATTATCTCTTTGGTTTCTGCGGTGAGCACAGTTTTTGACACTTATCTTTTCAGGCTCCATAATATTATCAGTATCTTTTTTAAATAAAAAGTTCAGAAAAGCACTTACAAAAATTCAGAGAACAGAAATCAACTAGTCCACAAAAAATTATTTAAATGCAAGGCCTGGGTGAAATTCGAAATTTGGTATTAAAACATTAACAAATATCTGATGAAACAGTTAAACTTTCATCTTTCTTAAATAAATTGCGACGCAAAACTTAACAAGTGCCCGTTCGACAGTCTCGCGAAGACTATAAAAAATTATTTGTCAGAATGGTAAACAAAAAGCTGGAATTACAAGGGAGAATTTCAAAATTAGGAGGAATACTATCCGATCGGTATTGGGTTGAGCATTGATGTTGGCGTCTCTTGTGTTCCGAAAGGTTTCGAATTGTCTATTCAGAGAAAGAGCCTACACTGCTAATATTTCCATATAAAATCGCGTAGAAGAAGGTTTTGAATTGTTACCTGAAGACAAGGGAAAATCAGTTGGTATTCGTTATTTTCTTTTGCTTCTTTTTATGTTTGTTCAGTAAAGTGTTCATTATCCAAACATGTGTTCATTGTCTGATCATAAAAATCTTTAGTGAAAGTGTTTGTTATCCGATTTGTTTGCTATCCGAACTGTTCGTTAATCGATCACCCACTGTATATGCTCAGAAAATGTTTAATCCATAATGTTTTTTATTCAAAAGTATAGGCATAACTAGGCTAACAGATCAATAGATTTAAAAAGTATAAATAAATAAATTTGAAATTATTGTGTAATGACTTGTCCCTTAATAATAATTTAAACACTATTGAAAAACTTTTTTGTAGATGAATTGGATGTAAAATGGTAGGCTAGTTTATGTTTTGTGAGTGGAAAAGAAAAGAAAAAAAATGATTCTAAATTTAACGAGGTTGAAAGCATTAGTTTAATAAAATGGTTATGCTCAAGAGAATGATGCTTTACTTATAAGAATTATTAACACTAAATTTACAACATTTCAGACATTATTATGTCATATTTCCACTCTCTTTTAGTATGCAGGAAATGTAGAAGTAAAATTGCCTTATCTCTGCTTCATATGCTACAAATTTTGCATTATTAATACAGGAGATCAATAAGTGTGTATTGATATTTTTATATATTATTATGCATTTTGAATCTTTATATTTATGTAAGTTACCTAAGCATAAAGAATATAAGATAGAGATTCCATATCATATATTATATAATCCATTAGTATAAGCCCAGAATTTTTAATACTTGGTTGGTATCATGCTTTTTCTTTGTCTCTCAACAAGCACGATATAACAGAGACTACTGTATTTCTAATTTCTCCAAGCTCTTGAGGTAGGTTTTCTCCCTTGTATGATGTATGATCTGTGTGTTGTCAAAGGATACTTGCACTTGGTTATCTATGACAAAAGCAGCTATAGCTGTGGTGGTAAGGCCCTTTTTGATGGAGAAGCCACATGTTCTTTTATACAGACATATATTGGTTTTTGAGTGAATGAGTTTATTATTGCAACCAGTTACTGTTTCTTCATAAAGATGATAACTATTTATTTATTATACTTTTATATCTATACATTACTATTAATATAAAGGATCTATGAAAAGCCATCGTGTGTGTGTGAATTCCTTATAACTCCTGCAATTTTTGTTCATTCCAGATGAAATTTTGGTTATGTTCATTTTATGTTCTGACGGAAAGTATAAGCTACTTATTTAGTGAAAATATTAGCTATAGAATAGATGTTTTATTGATTTTGGATTGATGATTACACTTACGTTACAGTGATGTCAGTGACCTCATTTAGTTTATGCTTGACAACATTCCTTAAGTTGCATTTTAAAATATTTTGGCAAATAGTGTATTTTTAAACTTACTTCATTAGATTTAAAATTTAACCTTTAAAAAAAGATAGCTGCATTGTGTCACTTCTATAACAAATTTAAAAAAAAAAAAACTTTTTGTAGTTACCAAGTGACATTATGTTATCCAATAGGAAGTAAAGATCTAACAAGCCCGTTATTTATCACTCATCTAACTAATTCATCTTTGTTTTATCAACATGGAATTAAAAAGACTTGCTATTTTGTCAAAAAAAATAATAATAAATGCCTAGGGAAAAGCATAAGAGATTTTACTCTTCGGTTAAATTCTATATCTAAAAGAATAAGAACAACTGAGACCCCTGAAGGTCATGAAGTTCGACTTGAGTATCATTGAGTAAGAATGGCTTTGTCAAGAGCTGCACTTAAAAAGTATTCCATCATGTTTAATGAGGAAATTTCTAGTTGGGCTGCAATATGAAAAAATTGTAGACCTATAAATTCCCACTGTCATCTGGTCATCCATTCATTTGTCTATCTTTAATCTTGAGAACAGTTAGATAGATGAAATTCAAGACCAGATATGGAAACCTTAGGGGCAGGAGACTCCAATTAACTATATACAAACTTCCAATGCAAACCAGAAGGCATGTTATTTCAATTCAAAACTTTTTCCTGAAAGCAGATAGCATTTAATAAATGACTGGCACAATTATTGTTAAAGAAAAAGTATGATGTACAGGGGCAAACCACTACTAATTTGGGGTTGAGAACATGTATTTTAAATTAAATAAATTAAAAATATGATTAAAAATTACAGCCTGGCATTGTGACAATGTCATAATAAATAATTGCTCATTAATATATAGGCTCCATGACATGATCACTAGAAAAATGAATCAAAGAAGACTTCCAATCTGTCAGTATGGTTTAATTTGAGAATAAAACATCTTTTGAATAGTTTGGGACAAATCCATTCTAAATAGGAAGGATTGCCGACAAAAGGATTGGAACAAATCTACATACATTGCCTATCAAAACACCTGAAGACGATAAATACAAATGACGCAACAAATCTCAGTGATTATTGAAAATTAGTACTGAATAATGTGCACATCACTTGTCTAGTTTATAGGATAACAGATTTATCTCAAAATATCTTTAAATAAATAAATTTAATACTAATTTATCTTAAAAAAAAATGGTTAAATTTTTAAGATTTAATGGTTTGAACTAGAAAAGATAGTAAGGTTTGATTGCATGAAAATTCATAAATTTTAAATCATTTATAATTTTTTCCATAAATTTTAAATCACTTGTTTTAGTTGTTTTTGCTTTAAAATTATCAGTTCCATTTGAAGTTCTGGAAGTTCATAACAATTTTGTGGCTAGTTAACATTAGTATAAGCCCAGAATTTTTAATACTTGGTTGGTATCATGCTTTTTCTTTGTCTCTCAACAAGCACGATATAACAGAGACTACTGTATTTCTGTTCTTGACTCCTTCAAATCAACATTTTGATTTGAAGGAGTCAAGAACATTTCCTTTTACAGTTTTCAATTAAGTGATGTCCTTAATTAAGGGGTTAATTTAATAAATAGGCTTGTGAAGAAAAATGTGATAGAAACACAACAAAAATCCAGCTCATGAAACACAAAACAATGGAGAAAAACAAACATTTTCAATTGCTTTTAGCAATTATCTTCAAGTTAAAAAACTTATTCAGAAATGGATATCAGAATAGAATGTAATAATTTAAAATATAAAACAAACATATGATTAGCATATGATTAGCTATCAGAGGCCAGTAGCTATATGTGTTAGTATTGGGATGTAAAGGCCAGTAGAAACAACATGGATATCAACTACAAGGACAACAACATGTTATTCCCAGCTTGGAGGACATGTTTGAATATTTAATATTACTTTTACACCTGAATATTATATCCCAATACAAACACATGACCTCTAATGTTTTATAAAGTGTTTTAACGATAAAAGATAATATTTCTATTCAATTGCCTTAACTGACAAATTTGTCAAATATTTAATAATTGCATGTCATTAAACTATTGCTAATCTAGATTAGCAAGAGTTTAATGACATGCAATTATTTGTATTTAATGACATGTAATTTGGCATTCCTTGTATAGAGGAATGCCAAATTACTGAGAGTATATAGGCCTAAAATTTGTGATATTGCTGCCTTTTAGTGCTGATTTTTTTGTCTGTAGGTAGGTAAATAATGCAATGCACAGACATACAATACTGTACATCAAAGTGAAGTAATAAGATATGTGACATGGCTAACATTTTCACAGAAATGGAATTGCATAGACATGAAGGATATGCTGGATAACTGAGAAACCAGATTAGCAAGAGTGTATTGTATTATGTTTTGTCTTTTTGCTTAAAAATGTTGTATTTTGTATTATCTATTAAATCAAATATAAAAATAAACTACCAAATTATCAAGTTCTCTAAGTAATCAGAAAGTCAGGCTTTTCAGCAGTTTATTTCTATTTAAATTAATGAGTAGAATGAGGTGTAATAATTTTATGCAAAAGTACTAAATACAATAGTTTTGGTGCAAAGACATGATTAATCATGGGTTAGATTTTTTACAAAATACAATAAATGAAAAATTTTCTGAATATTAGAACTGAAATTATTCTACATATCCTAATTTAAGATTAATTGGAATGGAAATATTTGAATACAATATTTGTATATTTATAATATTTTTAAACTTCGTAAATTGTTTAAGAACTCGATGAGTTAAGAATATTGTACTTTACATGACATATTAAATTTGTAACAGTAAATTATTCTTACTTTTTTAGGAAACTGAATTGATTTTAAGGAAGGAAGCTAAAGTTTTGAATGATGACAAACTTTCTGATGTTTCTCAAAATAGTTCTGATGTCAGTAGTGTTCTTTCAACATATAAAAGGTATGCAATCATAAAATTGTAAAGCTGAAAATGTGATTAGACTTATTACTAACATTACAATACAAATCTTTTATTATTAATTTGTTTTTTTACTGGTGAGTGCTGTCATGCAGTGCTGAATGTGCCATGATGTGTGTTTTGAATGGTTCTCCTTAGCTTCTTTAATGTGTTACAATAAACTTCTGAATTGATTATGGTGCCTTTTGTTTATGAATTCCACTAACAGCACTCCTCTTCTGTCTCAAAAGACAGTTGCCATGACTATCGTGGTAGACAAAGTTTGCCAACACTACTATGGTTTTGATGAGTGAGTAGGTCCCATTTTATTGATTGATTTGTTTTCTCTCTGCATTTATGCACAAGACTCAAGTCTCATCACTTATCTGATCTGATAAAAAAAAAAACACCTACTCTGTCATAACGTTCAAGGAAAGTCAACACTGATCCTATCCATTGTTTTATAAGCTCTTCCAAAAGCAGTTTAGGCAGCCACCTGGCACAAAACTTCTGGTAGCCTAATGCTTCAATGATCATTTCATAAAGAATTGTGTGAGAGATTTGTGGAAACACACCAGAAATCTCCAAAATGGTGGTTCTCAAACCTTTTCATCAATCTTCTAAACCAATGTATCTATTACCACAGTCAGCTGACTACTTCTCTCTTTATCATAGACACACACAACAAACCAATGCCAACAAATATGAAATTAATAAATAAAGCTGTTTTGTTTTGCATTGTGCACCTGATGCTTTTTTAAACAAATTAAAATGTTTGTAAATATTTCTTTATTTATTAATTTCATATTTGCTGGTATTGGTTTGTTGTGTGTGTTTATTCTATCCCAGTATTGGCAAGTTTATCTTGGACATTGGTCTATCCAGTGTCAAATGTGTTTGAATAAGATTGTTTGTAACTGTTTTTTATATCAATGGTTTATAGTTATTTCTTTGATGTACTCTAATTCTTTTAATGTATTTTGTATTTTCATGTAAAATGTAAATGTTTTTATGAGGGGAGGGCTGTGAAGATGGCAAGTTTTGTATATCTAAGGATTATATGAGAGAGATGGTGTATATAGCAGGTGAAATATTGGTTTACTGAATGTATTAGTGCATACTTTCTCATTCTCTAAGCTAATATCTATGTCTAGGAAATATATGTTTGTGGTAATGGTATTAGTTTGATCTAACTCCAGTTTAAAGACTGTATTTATTATTGTTCATTTGATTTAAAAATAACTGAATGTTTGGTTTTTGCTGTCATATTATAAAGATGTCATCAATATGTTGTAGATAACATATAATATCCTTGTTGATTTTCTCAATTATTTTTACTTTTCCAGAAAGTATGGCAGTTGACCAAAAAATGACCCATCTCCAGATTTTTCCAGTTTTGGACTTGAGACCTTGAAACATCAAGAAATGCAAAACAGTTCAGGAGCTTTTCTATTTGTATGAATATTAGTGTGTGTGGGGCATGATTTTGTTTACCCTCTTTGAAGCTTAATAACTTGTGCTTTTTGTTGAAAATTTCTGAAATTTTGCAGAGAGGTTAATTTATTATGAGGATTGATGTTATTAAATTTTGGTCGAGGGGCTAGAGAGATAAAGATGGGTTGTGTGTCATATCTAGAGTAGGGTCAGACTTAAAGACAGTTTTATTTGTTATTATCATTTACAGTTTTTTATAAAATTTATCCCTAACTCAAAATTAAGCTTTTTACCATTTTATAATAATTAAAAATATAAAAAGTTTTTAAAATAAAATATAACAGGTGGTGCCACCAAATGTAGCCAGGAAATTTAAGCAACTTGTTGCTAGATTTTTTGTTCTACTTTGCATATTGTTATTTTACATAGGATACTTGCTATGAGACTACTGATTCGTAGCCCTTTTCTTTGTATATATGTATCATTGTTAAACATAAAGAATGAAGAATAGCAGATAATGTGCATCATTTCCAATAAGAGTATATAGCAATTTAATGCTTACAGAATTAGTTGGAATAATAAATCTCTTAATTCACAAAAGCATGGTGCAAAGAGTATAGATAAATATAAACTTCAAAGTTCTTTTCATTTTTTATCCCAGATGGTAATTATGTTTAAAATTGAACACAAAGTCTGTCAAAATAATAGTTACCATTTATTCACTTTCACTGCTCTGGAATACAATTTTTGAATACCAACCTTGTTTTGTAGGCTCTAAGAAATTATAAAAATTGTTTCTTTTAATTATGCATTTTTTCATTGTTTTAAAAAGAAATTTTTTAACTCTGGCAACCAAGTAGTCTACAAACGAAAATCAGTTATCAAAAATTGTATTCCAGAATATTGAAAGTGAATAAATGGTAACTACTTTTTTGACAAACTTTATCTTTAATTTTAATTTTAATTATAAACTTGCAAATTTAAAACTGTCATTTGTACAGAAGATTTCTTAATTTTTTAATCATCAATAGCAAACTTGGGTTGTCAATAGTAAACATATGAGCTTTAAGGGCTAGTGTATGGAATTTTTGTAGATGCTTATCTAGTTTGTTGGATAATTGCTCTTGTCAACCACAGATCTAAGATTTTTTCCTTGTTTATGAATCTTTGCAAATACAAGAGGACTAGAAGTGCTAGGGGTCTTATATAATGCATGATTTTAAAAATGATAACTTTTATCTTAGATTTGATCAGTATGATTATTCTTAAAATAAGTAAGACAAAACCTTTCACACTTTGTTTCTAGCAGTTTAATCACTAAGTACAAACATTTTTGGCCGTTTTGAATGGCCTTCTTCAGGTACAATAAGGTTGGTTGGAATGTCGGTTAGCAGATATTCAAATGACGTCATTGTGTACAAAGGTTTCTTCTTACTAGTGACATCGTTGCTGATAACAAAGTTTAGACAAAATCAACATTGTTTGATATTATTATTCAAGGTGTGCGAATGACTATTGATGATATAATTGCTAAAATTGGAAAATAAAAAACAAGATAAGTAAAGGAAATGCTCTGATGAGGGTGCATTGGCCTATTTAGTTTAAGAGGTTATCAAAGAGTGATTGCCATACAGAGGAGAGCGAGTCTGCATCTCTGCTGTTAATACAATTCTCCTTGAAGGATTTCGCAAAGATTTCAATTGCTTCAAATGTTCTAAGTTTGTTATTGTCAAGCATAGGTGTAATAATCTTAACCTTTTCCCATTTGGCTGTTATATTTGGTTCACTTGCAAATTGGGCTAGGGTGAAATTAAAGTTTTTGTTGTATGTGTCATATTTGTGCTCAGTTATCCTTTTTGTAAGTATCTGTTGGTTGAGCCAATGTATGTTAATTTTTTGTTTGGATTAAATCTGTTGTCCTCTAGCAGGATCGAGTAAATCCCCGGTCTTCTTGCTTCGCTGCATTTGTCCTTGGTATCAACTAGAAGTTTATATATTGTAGGGTTGCATTTGTATGTAAGAGCAGCTTTGACCTCCTTGATTATGATTTTAAACACTTGGCTCATTCTAGGGTCAAAATCAACTACAATGTGCTTACCTTGCTGTTTTAGAGGTCTGGAATTAATCGCTTCGGTTTCTAAGCAACTATGTATTTTTTTAGCAAGCCTATCTATTAATTTACTGTTGTACCGTGGGCTAAGGAGATGTGTTTGATGTGTTGGATTTCTTGTAGCATGTCCTTAATGCTAGAGTAATTGATAAAAGCTCTATGGATTAGAGCCCTGAAAGCGGATATTTTATAAGTAAACAGGTCATTCGAGGTTGAGGGAATGAAGAAAGATTGAAGATTAGGCTTATGGAATACCTTTGTGGCTATACAACCATAATTCAGGAAAATATTGAGGTCAAGGAAATGGGCCATCTTATCATCCTGTTGGTTTAACTTTAACTTAAGTCCAAATGGGTTGTTATTCACAATCTGCAGAACTCTGTTTATATCTGGCTTGGATCGCCAAACAATAAGAATATCATTGACATAACACGTGTAAAGAGTGATTTCTGTGTTGAAGGATTCTAAGACTTGGATATCTAATTTTCTAACAACTAATTCACAGAGGTCTCCAGATAGGGGGCTACCCATTGGAACCCCTCTTTTTTTTAAGATAGATTTGTTGGTTGAAGGTGGAAAAAGAGATGTAGCACATTAGATGGGCTAGTTCTAAAACCTGCTTGTGGTGTTTAGGCTTGGAAGAGGAAATCTCTGGTAGACCATCCACTTCAACTAATGAACGACATATCTCTCAAGTCAGAGATATGGTGCTTAGTGATTGCTGTTTAACAATTACGGGCCTTTATTGAACATGTACCAATATTATTTGGATTTAAATTTAATAGTAAATTATTCAATGAGATCAATTATTTAGTTAAAATAAAAATAACCATATTTCTAAAAATTTTAAAAGATAAAATATAGAAAACAGTCTCCAAGCTAAAACACTCAATTGGTACCAATTCCAACTGTTTAATTATGACATTAAACAGTTAACAATAAAAAGATGTTTAATTTACTCTGCTTTTTCCATTTTCTTATCCATATGCATTTCACCTTCTTTCTTCTGCCTTGTCAGTGGATAACATTGCTTGTTTCACATTGATGCTTTTATACCATACAAAGCTATCCCAGCATGCATCTAATGATATGCCATTATTTAAATTTATATTATTTACATATTTTAGTATACTGAAGTGTTCTTTAACTTAACATTTAATTATATTATTTTTTTTTATACAGTATTTTTATATTATTTTTATTAAATTTACAATCATATTTGTTACAATGTTGGAACCAAGAAGATTCTGTATTCTTTAATTGTATTGCTGCGTCATGTTCTTTTAGTCTTTTTTCCAGCTTCTGTTTTGTTTCATCTATGTAGCATTTTGGTTGAGAAATGTGTACGTGAGAGTTTATATACTATTCATTCTTACATCCAGTTGATGATTTTTTTTCTTTGTTATAAATAAAATTTAATGAATTTGATAACCTGTTGTTTTGAGATAGGATGATAAGTGTAGAAAGATCATTAAATTGACTTTTATATTTTTCATAAAAACTATTTTATAGGGAAAGAATGTACAATGGATGATCGGTTAATGAACATAATCCGTTTCAAGACTTTGTTCACTATCCAATTATCAATTTACCATAGGTTTTTATGGGAATTTGATTAATTCATTCTGGAAAATCCAAAAATAAAAAATGTATATTTTCTTACTACATTTATTTATATGTAATAATAAAAATACATATATACACAGTCTTGCATTTTTATTAATCATGTTTTTTCCATTTGTGGGGTTAAAGAGTCTGTCTAATGTTGACTGCTTTTCTCTCTTCTTCAGGATTTTTCAAAAGTAATTAATAGCATTGTAATTGTGTAGATCCCCAAGCCTATTAACCTCAACCTGGTTTGGATGCCATTCTAAGACCATTGTTCTGCATCCTCCCACTTCTTCAAAAGATCTTTAATAACAGATATCGGCATTAATCCTCTTTTTCAGAAGAAAACATATTTCCCCAAGTTTCTTGGTGTTTTTTATTCAAGAGTTCTTGGCATTCTTCTGTTATCAGATTCATTTCAGGTTCCATTATGAGCTCTTTAATGTTCTTTATTTCCCAGATGTGATTTTTGTTACTCCTTTAGCTGCTTGAGTCTTCTTGATTATACTGTATCTTTCTAAATAAGATTGAACTGCAGTCTACTGTAGACCTGTTCAAACCATGCTGCCCACCCAGAAACATCAGACATCTTCTGCCCACTCTCTACCTTTCTTATTATACTCTCACCTTTCGAAAATAAAAACCGATGCAAAACTTAATGAGTGCCCATTCGACAATCTCACAAATACTATAAAAAAATTGTTTCTGTCAGAAAAATAAAAGGCTGAAATTACAAGGGAAAGTTTCAAAGTTTGGAGGAATACTATCCAATCAGTATATACCGGGTTGAGTGTTGATGTTGACGTCTCCTCCGAAAAGTTCCAAATTGTTGCCTGAAGACAAGGGAAGACCAATCAGTGTTTATTATTTTACATTGCTTCTTTTTGTGTTTGTTCTGTAAAGTGTTCGTTGTCTGAACATAAAAAATCTTTCACAAAAGTGTTTGTTATTCTATTTTTTCATAGACCGAACTGTTCATTAACCAATCACTTACTGTATACCTTTTAGTTATTTTCTCATTTTTTATGCTATATTTGTTACTTATGAAATTGTCATACCACTTACTAAGAATCTCTCTGGGATATCCATTTAACCTGTACTTTTTAAATATAAGGACCTTGAATAAGTTCTCGCTGTTCTTTAACAGATGGTATTACCAGAACCACGTGTGTTTATTTTTAGATGGTGACGCATCTGTAAGGAAGTACAATAAGCGACCTTGAAATTCAGTATATATCATTTCACCAAAGTGTAAACAACTTATTTTTTCATTGTGTTAAACATGTCTAGTTTCGTGCCAAAAAAAGAGTATTTGTGGGGAATTTTATTGCACTGTTTCATTCAAAAAAAAATCTGCAGCTGAAGCACACAGAATTCTTGTTGATACTTATGGCGACCATGCTCTGTCGGAAACAACATGCAGAGATTGGTTTAGACGCTTCAAAAATAATGATTTTGATGTTGAAGATAAAGAACGATCTGGTGCACCAAAAAAGTTTGAAGATGAGGAATTAGAGGCATTACTTCATGAAGACTCATGTCAGACGCTAGCTGAATTTGCAGAATCATTAGGAGTTGATCACACAACAGTTTCGAAACGTTTAAAAGGATTAGGAATGATTCAAAAGCGAGGACATTGGGTGCCGTACGAATTGAAGCCAAGAGACATCAAACGGCGTCTTTTCACATGTGAACAGCTGCTTCAACGGCAGAAAAGGAAAGGTTTTCTGCATCGTATCGTGACAGGTGACAAAAAATGGATACACTACGATAACCCTAAGTGTAGAAAATTGTGGGGTAAGCCCAGCCATGCATCAACATCATCAGCAAGGCTGAATATCCATGGTTCGAAGCTTCTGCTCTGCATTTGGTGGGATCAGCTAGGTGTAGTTTATTACGAGCTGCTCAAACCAAACGAAACCATCACAGGAGATCGCTATTGACTACAATTGATGTGTTTGAGCCAAGCATCAAAGGAAAAACGGCTGCTATATGAGCAGAGACACGACAAAGTGATTTTGCAACATGACAATGCTCGGCCACATGTTGCATAACCGGTGAAAACATACTTGGAAACGCTTAAATGGGAAGTCCTAACCCACCCACTATATTCACCAGACATCGCCCCTTTGGATTATCACTTGTTCTGATCGATGGCACATGGCCTGGCTGAGCAGCACTTCCATTCTTATGAAGATGCCAAAAAATGGGTTGATTCTTGGATAGCCTCAAAAGACATGTTGTTTTTCCGACGTGGAATTCAAATGCTGCCAGAACGATGGGAGAAAGTAGTGGCTAGCGATTGACAATACTTTCAGTGACGTGTTTATTACAACTTTTTTAAAATAAAGTGTTAATTTTCAGAAAAAAACAGCGAGAACTTATTCAAGGTCCTTATAGTTGTTTTTCTTCTCTTTTTATATCTTCTGTAATTGTAATTCTTGTTAAAGTTTTTTTTTAATTCCATAATAAATGTGTTCTTTTTTATATCATTTTTTATACCAGTAGATAAACTTAACACATTTAATATAAAAATAAAGATTATAGATTAAAGATTAGCAGACGAGAAACATAACAAAGATCCATAGCTTTAACATTGGTTCCATTTAACCTGGGACCAAAATGGATAGTCCTGGCAGATAGCTATTTCCTTAATCCTAAGTCTATCTTAAATTCTAAGTTCTATCAAGAGAGAGTTTACTTAAACTGTTTAAAGTTAATACCTTGGGATGACACTTCATAGCTCCTAGATTCTTCTATGCAATGTTGTCTGGACATTGGCAATCTAAGGTTGGGGTGTCTAGAGCAGACAAACTTAGCGATGTAAGTATTGGCAGGTGGAATGTCATGTAGGGTCCCTTGATAATGGCACAATGAGCTGTATCTATGGCTTCTGGGGATGTCTGCCCTGATGATTGAGTGTGACCCTTTTTTATATGCATTCCACATAAGAACTATCTCAGGTGATCATGATTTAATGTGGTCTAAGTTCGAGCTGTCTGGGTTCTGTTAATACAGGACATCACAAATCGGACGGTTTGGTCAGATTGTTGATACTTTCCCTTGGTGTTACGACTCTCCTTATCTGATAATTTGTCTGTTTGACAGTTTCTCCCCATTAATAATTGACTTTTTGACGAAGGTTGTAACATAAGTCCAAACATTGCAATAATCATCGTCTTGAGATGGACATTTAATTGGTTTTATCTGTCATAATATTGACTGTGGGTGAGAAAAAGGAAGTGGGGTTTTTTCCACTTCTCTTGAATTTTAACTAATTAATTTAATTACCTAATTACCCCCTCTAGAATCTCACATATATATACATATATATTGATTAAAGTTTATAGCTTATTGAAATAATTCTGAAAATAAGATGTTTTTAAACATCTTCAATCATGTCAAAAACTAAAATTTTATTAGAAAATCATTTAAAAAGATTAGTTGAAAAGCTTTTCAAATTAAAAATTGTTTAAAAATTTTTAAGGAATAATTTAAAAAAAAACCAGAACTTCTCATAAATAGTTTAGAACATATTAATAATAATTAATACTTTGATTATTTCAATTTATTTTTTTATTTCAATAGTGAATTTCTTACTAATTTGTGCAATTTTATTAATCAGTGAAGGTGATCCAGATATTTATGAAGAGACTTATTCTAATTTGATTAAATTTGTTGAATCATCGCTTGATACATACAGAGTAAGTAACAATAGATGTTTAGCTATTAAGAAACTGTAACATTTAATCAATGTATTAAATTTAAACACTCTTATTTAAAAAATATTTATATTTAGATTTAAACATCTGGAGTAACTATTTAAAAATCAGATTATTATAAATTGTACTGATAATGAAATTAAAATGCTTTCAAAATATTTTTTTATTATATCAGACATGACAGAATAGTTTTATTAAAGTAACATTAATAGACACTATAACTGGAACCTGTTACTGGTGTTCCTAGTGAAAAAAAAAAACAGTCTATCACAAACGTTTTCGAACTTTTGGATAGTTCTTTCTCAGTTTTCATGAGGAACACCAGTAACAGGTTCCAGTTATAGTGTTGATTTCACCCTCGATGTTAAGGTGATGTTGAACTTCTTATTTAACATTAATAGTATACAATAATAAGTTAAGATGCTTCTCATAGATACATAATAATGTAATAAATATTTTTAAATGAAATATTAACTTCATTATTAATTTATAAATTTTGTTCCTTTTTTAGCATGAATTAGCAATGATTTTGTATCCAGTTTTTGTTCATATGTATCTAGAACTTGTCTATAATGAACATGAATTACAAGGTACTTTGTTTTAACATTCATATTTGATAATTAACTTGTTCAGTGCTGAATCTTTTTTACACAATATATTAAACATATATAATTTAATTTAATTTATTATCAATATTAAATTATAAATAAATATACTTAAAATTAAAATTACTAAATGTTAGAAATGTTTAATAGGTGATATTTTGTTAAAAAGGATAAATGAAAACATGTTTAACCTGTATTTTGTGAGTCTAACAAATAAACTAATAGAAAAAATAAAAGATTAAAAGTTGAAATATAAATTGAATAATAGGACCAAAAATAATAGGACCAATTTGCAAGAACTTTTTGTTTGTTTTTTATAATAAATTTTTCAGATTATAAATTGGAACATAAAATCAAATTTCAAACAAGAATAGCTTAAAAAATCTTTATAAAATGAAAATCTACATTTCAATTAAATAGTTATTTTAACTTCATTCAAGCTATGCTATAACTTTAAAGAAATTAGTCTTTTAACTAAAAGACTAATTTCTTTAAACTTATACTGACTTTAGAGTTATAGCTTAAGTTAAATTAGTGCAGAATATAGAGTTGCTCCTAAGTAGAGATTTAGTTATTTTTTGAAAATTTTAAAAAATTTTTTATTTAATTATTTTTAAAAATAATACAATGTTTTTATTTTCCTTTTGCTGTAAGATATTCATTTACCTGATTCACATATTTAGAAGGGAGTCAAAAAGAAGTCAAAAAATAAGTTGCATATTTAGAAGTCAAAAAATAAGTTGCACTTGTACCAAAAACAGAAGTATGAAACATATGGGTCAAAAATTTTTGTGTAAATGTACAATCCAAATGCTACATTTTGACATAATGTGAGGTTTGCTGACCTGAAAAGGGGAAGTTAGATAAACTCACATCGGGATGTACGAGGGGTTTAGAATTGCATGTGGGTAGTGGTGGACACATGTTGACTTAAGTACCTTTACAAATGAAACCTGTTTATTTTACATAAGAAAAGCTTAAAAGGTGTTTCAAGAGATCTTGCTCACTGATGAAGATCAATACAGAGTCTATGGATGCAAATTTCTAGCTGTTGGAATCTTGTTGAGTTATTGAGGCCCTGGGGTGATGTCATGGGTAGTCCAGTGGATGAAGGATGTTAGTGAAGCACAGACAGGAATCAGGAAACTTTGTTAGGAGTGATGGCACCAAAGACAAGAGGAGTGCACAGGTCACTTTGGACAGTACAAACTGACAGAAATTCACAGTTTGTCCTTGAAATCCAGGGTTTAATTAATTTCTGTCCTCAATTGCTCATTCCAATTAGTCACTTTTCCTTGTTCTTGCTTTTCAAGTGGTTGATCACTCATTACTATGTGTAACGAGATCTCAAGAGAAGTCAAAATTGAAGTTTAATTTGATCCAAACTGGAGAAATGATGTAATTTGAATATAAATTATTTATAAATACGTATGTCAAGTTATATTTTTATTACTACGTAAAATATATTTAAGAGTTTACGACCACTGTGCTGGGTGAGACGTTGTTGAAAGAAAAAAGTTATGCATTTCATCACGTACATAAACAGTGTCGTAATTCGCCAAGTGCAAATCAGCAAATTCGTAAAATTTTTGTTTATTTTGAACAATCCGGATAATCGAAAATCCGGATAATGGAGGTCCGGATAATGGAGGTTCTACTGTAT